CAAGGATGTAACTGTTACGAATGTAAGCCGTGTTGCGTCTCTTGGGCGATGTGAAATCTGTAGGGAGGTGTGAAATTTGTGGGGCGTTGTAAAATCTGTGGGGCGGTGTAAAATCTGTGGAGGGGGGTGTGTGAAATAGTGTGGGGCGATGTGAACTGTGTTAGGCGATGTGAAATCTGTTAGGCGATGTGAAATCTGTTAGGCGATGTGAAATCTGTTAGGCGATGTGAAATCTGTTAGGCGATGTGAACTCTGTTAGGCGATGTGAACTCTGTTAGGCGATTTGAAATCTGTGGGACGATGTGAAATCTGTTAGGCGATGTGAAAGCTGTTAGGCGATGTGAAAGCTGTTAGGCGATTTGAAATCTGTGGGACGATGTGAAATCTGTGGGGCAGTGTACGTGGCGATGCAAAAATTTTATTTTACCAGAGACGAAACTCTTTTGAGTTGATAAAACAAAATTGGTCTTCCATATGGCATAACCCTCGGGGATGGGCCGATGGGAAAATGTTAGATCTGTGTCAAAGACGGAGTAGCTCAGGTGTGATATTCAGCATTTTTCAATCTATCAAATCTTGCGGGACGTTAACTTGATTAACGTCTCCTCTAACATTAGATAACAAATTAACAATGAATTAATAAAAGATGATTCCTATTTTTACTGCACGTGTGGAAAGAAAAATTAGGAATTGATAAAAGCTGTTCGGCATGAAGAATGAGTTTATTTAGTTAAGTTGAGGTTTTGTCCTTTCTTTCATTTCCCAAGACAGGTTCAAGAGGGCCATGCATGCATCGTGTCATCTTCTTAGCTCTCATTAATGATTGACTATAAACAAACTAGAGTTTCGTATGCTTGAGAATTGTTTTATATATAGCTTTCGATTCTCATCATCAAGATATATGTGTCTGGGTTATTTTTCCCGCTGTAACCGGTGTGAAAAGATATTACGATGCGATTCCAATTCAGAAATGAGTCGTGCTGACGTATGACTGAATGTTATGACCATATCAAGAACAAATGTATATGCATGGCAGCAAGTGTTGGCCGATAAGGGAAATGGTTATATGAACATGCCACATGTTTATGTGTCGTACTGATTCAACTCGTAGACACGCGTTGTGTCAATAATATAGTATATATCTAACCATTCATGATATGATACAGCTATAGTAAGGATGTCGGTGTGTTCAGTCCTGCCATATCTAAAACGATAGGCATATACGAGTCGGGGGGCGGGGGATTGGGCAGAATTGGTGATAAGTCAGGCAATTTGTGCTCGAGGGTCGGAAAATTTTGCTGAAATCCACGATCAAACAGTATTCGATTTAGTGGGACAGAGAAAATGCGCTTGGAATTAGCGAACTGATTTTTACTCACATGCAGACCTATCCTAGCTGCTGTATTCAAAACGTCAAAATAAGCTTAGCTATACTACCTAGATTACTGACTACCTTTGTTTGCGAGGACAATAAATCATGAAATGTCATCTCATGTTTTAGCACCTACGAGAATAAAGCTGTTCTTTATCGTTTATTTATTTATACGCATGTATAATCTAATTTATATAATATGCAAAGGTCCTTGTAACGGTCAGCTCTAATTATTAATATAATCAGGGAGCAGCGTGGCAGCGTCTTCAAATAACTTAGCATCAAATGTGGTATAACAACTGCCTAAAATAGACAAAACACTTCTCGACGTTTCGACCTGAGGGCCTTCGTCAGGAGAGCTCTAATTATTAGTACCATTGTGTTGTGGTAGTAGAACTCTGTAGAAGTGTTTGGAAAATAGTATAATTACTCAGATATTTCTATCAATATAGAAATCGTATCCTATATACTGATATACAAGCAGCTCAAAGAACATAACTACTTTTTCCATCCGTTATGTCTAATTAGTCTGAAGGTTTACTCACCACGGGAGATAAGGAGCTACAAATAGTTCACTATTGAAAAATATAATCAGTTTTGCCGTTGGCATGCATGCAGCAATTTGTTTACTTATTTTTCAGAATGGTGTCAAAGTATTTCTGTAAGATTTAAAATAATTCCTAAGCTATGGCATTTCCAACGCAAGGTGAAAATTACAGGTTTTGTAAAGATCATCTTTACGGCGGCAAAACTTAACGGTGAAAAAATTATTTAGACAACCAATCTAAAATTGAAATTGGTTGTCTCAGATTCAGCTTTTTTATCCATTTTCTTTGGTAAAAAAACCATGTCTTTAGTTGTCTTGACAACATAAATTAATGTGAGGTAACCAATTTTATATCTTTTACTGTTTTAATTACATGGTATAGACTGTAGTGGCATAATAAATATGTTTTGATGCACACAACTTTGATTTTTTGTTTTTGTTGTATCGTTGATTTTGTATTTGAAGGCGTAATTACATGTCGTTCTCAGATTTATTCATTTCTATATTGTGAGATACATTGCCATTGGCGATCTTTAACGAGTCAATAGGAATGCACGGTTTTAGTACCATGAAGTATGGTCGTCGCATCGGCATTTTAGACTACATTATAAAAGAGATTTATCGATTTACCTTGTTCAATTGGAATATCTTGTGAATGACATGAATTCGCCGTTCTCGCAGCACGAGTTGCATACGTGTTTACTCTGTGTTTAGCGCAGGATATATACCCTGTTCATGAAGTTCAGTCTGCTGTGAAACTAATCGATGAAACGCTGGTATAGAGTCGCCTGGGGACCCGTGTCTTCGTGTTTTGACCGCGCTAAATCATGCACGTAAGTTGTTTCTCTCCTGTGCACCGAAGGAAAATCTCGGAGATTCTCTCCAGGAACTCTGATCCTTCCTTTTTCCTCGTTGTAAAGAAGTTAAATCTATTATTCTCTTCAATTTAACAACGTGTATAACCAAATGAATAAACTGCGGGACAGTGAATGCTAAAGATGGCAACAATACGAATACCTATATGGTCCCGATACATGTGTATATCAGTTTTAAGGTATTTTTATCTCGAACCGCAAAACAACGTGACCATGCAAATAAATAAACGACGGGCTAGTGTGTGATAAAGATAGCAACAATAAAAATACAACAACAAATATGATAAAGTATTTTTATCGCGAATCGCAAAACAGGAAGAAACAAACTTTGAAAAAATTAAGGTAACTAAGGTATTGCAGGATTGTTTTTCGTTTGATTTGATTTTCACGACTGATTTGTTGTGACTCAGTCGAGTGAAATGGCGTTTGCCTATTCTTCACGTCCTTAAAAAAATGTTTTTATCATCTCTATTCCACGAATAAGCACTCTATGGTTGCATGTATGCTTGATACTGACTTGCTTGCATGTATAAGACAAGTTCTATTATAGATTTGCGTTCATTACATTGCAGATATACTTGTCAGTTATATTTTGTTTTGAATGTTTGATACGGAAACTTATTGTGGAGGTTCACATATATCACTGATTAGTAATAATTGGCTAGCGCCTTGCCGTTGTTGAATTTGGACCCCTGTGATCGATCCACCGCTATATTAATTAAAAACTCAGGAAGAAGACGTAGTATAGCTAATGCCTTAAGGCTGTATATTGAACACTATATACTCGTTCACCTTTTCATGACAAAGACAGTGAGTATGACTGTATGAGTCTTGAATATGAATCTTTAAATAAGAAAAACGTATTTATACGAAAGGAAATTTGTGCGAACCAAGTTCTAATAGATTTATTATGGCATTCGAAGCTTATGTTTTTCATAGCCTTTGTCATCAATTTCGAGGGGATGTTTTGTGTTTCTTTGCGGGTTCTTCCTCAATGTGTAGCTATTATGTGTTAATGGAAAGTTTTATGCCAGTAAAAGGGCGCAATAATGTAATGTCATTCAGGATAACTGGTGCTGACGTATGGCTTGGTATAAGCGAACATATAAGCAAAAGCACACCTCGAAATACTTAATTTAACAACTTAATTAAAGAAACCGAACGTGTTCTTCCTTATATTCTATTAAGTTGTCTATCAGTGGCAAAACTTAAATGATTATCATATATGGGACAGAATTGTATGGCGTTTGTAATCGAATTTGTTTTCATTTTTGACGTTACCCGGGTACATGTTTCTCTTTCCCAAACCATTTTGCAAGAGTATCCAATAAATCCTTGCGTTCATGAAGTATTGTAACATGCACGCCAAAAATTTCCAAAATTTCCCAGACTGTTACCTTTTGATAGAAATTCTTCATCAGTGTAGACACGAATAAACGGGTTGCAGACGTGCTAATATACATGTGCGATGCGGCATCGTTGACCAATTTCAGGGTAATCTAACTCATTATCATATTTAGCGCAAGTCTTAGAAATCGCTGAAATTGCTTCTCGCTGAAAAAGCAGCTCACTGCATGCTGGGTCACGGTGATTGCCGGCTGTAATCAATAAGATTCGTGACATGATAGCTTGGATTTAGTGAACTACAGTTACAAGATTACAAAGTACCACGAGAACAGGCTATAATGATAATCTCAATTCTCAACAATGTTTAACACATGCACGGCAATACTAATTACCGAGACAGCGTACAGGGCGCGCATTCGGCAACTACATAAAGATTTGTGAACTGACATATTAACCTGTCAAATATGAGTGGCTTGATGCGTGTGTTATAATTGCCTCAATTCTGATTGTATAATCTTACAATACAGCATTATTTGTTCTAACGCAGATTGCCCTACATAGAGTGGGACGCGTTAAACTCAACTGAATAGCCAAAGAAAGAACAGAACGTTCGAGACGGCAGGGGTCAAGATATATATATGTTAGAATTCAAGTATATATGGCCAATATAGGCGAAAATCCATATAGGAAATAGGTTTAGGTCCGACATAGCGGATAGTTTGACATATAACGGTGTTAATATACACCGCAGTTCAACGGTACCTCAAAACTGCGTCATACACCGAACTTGTTAGCCGATAATGCACGCCTCATAACGCGTCTTGGCTAAACTACATTAAACACATTCACATTTAAATACCTTTTCTAAAAAGCACCACACACGTTACGTAAACGGTCTATTTGTTCTTCACTCCGTTGCACGAATGACCATTCCAGTACAATATGATGTATACAATTTCGCCGCGTTTTTTCCCGTGTAAAGACAAGTCAGATGTGATCGTTGCAAGCCCAACTCGAATCTAAATGCTGTTTAATTCATGAACACTCCAAAATTCTCGGTCATGCTATACTTATGTACCGCCTCAGCGTTCTAGCACGATTTGAGTGGAATGTACGACAGACGATTCCAATGTGTATTGGCCAAGAGCCTGCCAACAAACATTATCCGAAAGGTCGTGACATTTCGAAATTGTGTTTTAATATTTTCATCACTAATTACGCCGCGTAGCAAAACCGATCACGCTATTTAAAACTCGTTGATAAACACGCGCTATTTCCTTGCTCCAAATGGTCACCGCATGTTGGTAAACTCGGGAGAAACTGAAATTTTCAACTAGCCTTGACGACCCAACCCCTGAACTTGTTTTCGTTGGGCTCGTCAGCGTAGCGAACTTCGTTCCGCATGAAATGGGATTCGATTTCACAGGACAGATCGTTTTTCTGTCGACAAGTGTGTATCGCTATGTTATTTATGATGTTATTTTATTAGAGACAAGGATTTGGTATTTGAAACATGAGATTTTCACTGATGTTCGTAGAATGGCGAACTTTTTTTTTAAGATCAGTGGCTAGCGAGGGATTTAGTTGTGAATTTCTAAAAACTGTACGCGGTTTTTTTTTACTTCGACTTTTCTTCCTGTTTTTTTTCCTACCTTTTTTTTACCTGGTTCGAAACGTATTGTACGCCAAAAACGTGATCAAGCCAGCCTAACCGCGTTGAGCTTACCAGGTGTACAATCCTATAGTCCACTCGATTTTTTCAAAGAATTACTTCAATCTGGCCAAAAAACATGGCAGACGCAGGCAATTTTCCTAAATTAATACTTAAATATAGACTGAAACTATTTAGGGGGAAGTATTCATTTTTTCATCTCTTTCATCCAGTAATTCAATTTCTCTTTTCCAAGGTGTGATAGATTTGCGCTATCTATTTATAGTAAGTTGTAATATCGTAAATGCCTATGTCAAGAAATTCTACCCTCAGTGTTTATAGTTACATGGTAAAGATCACATCATTGAATGACATAATAACTTATATGATTTTAGCCGTAACTTAGGTATGTTTCAAACGTGAGTAACTTTAAGTTCGGCACATGAATAGTTTGAACTGGATGGTCAGTCTAACTGAATAGGTTCATTTGCATTCAATTTGGCACATGCAACGGTTCGACGTCGAAACGGCCTTTAGAGATATTCAGAAATGACTCATAATAACTTTTCTTGCAAATGAACAGTCTTATCAGTTGAGTTATGTTTGCAATTGAACTAATATTTGAGGTTTTGTGTGTCAAATGCACTATACTTCTTTTAATTGGATAAATATCAAGGTGGGTGCATGAGTGGTGGACTAAGGATCGTCTTTTTTGTTCAATGACTATAACTGAATAACTTTATCAAGAATATAAATGATTAATTGGCCTTGTGCATCTTAATTGCGGTTATTAAACTATAGCTAAACTGACTTGATTATTACTGGATGTACATCAGTACATGATGCAATTGTTTTAAATTGTTTATGAAGGAGCTTAAGACGCGTCTGTTGCCTCAAGACAGTTCACACGGGGCTTTAGGATTCTCTTTATCGGTTTCACATAGTAAACGAATTTGCCGGCGTCATTCTATTTTTCGCATTGTTAAATTCATGAATAATTATCATCAATAAATATTCTTGTCTCATGAATGTCACAATGAACATTAGAATAGGATGCGAAAAATAGAATGATGGCAATACCCAACCACATTTGGTGAATTAGGTCGCATGCACACCGTATATATACCCCATACAAATTAAATACAATTTATTACAAATAGTTGTAAACATTACTTTCAGTAATTTTAACAAGTTACGAACTTTCGTGTGCAACGTTTCAAATGCATTTCTGAATTCCGGACACTCTTTACAAATTATAACATCCCTCAAAATGAGAATTGCATTGCAAGTTGCAAGGAAAATTGCATAGTGTAATAGCGCCTTTATTAGTGTGAAAATTATTCATTCTTGTAGAGTAGATTCACAAAAGGATAAACATGCAGCTTTCGCCATTTTGAATAATTGCCTATAATGTTTTTCTCGTAAAACTATAAATCAATAAGTACTTATTTCAGTTTTGCGTTCGCTTGAACAAAATATTCGCCTGTTAGAAAGAGTAACTGATAGCACAGACAACCAGGAGAATTATTCGCCTCAACTTAAAGCTGAACTTAAATTATAATAGCTGTATAGAATCGAGCAAAAAATATAGCTACCGTTGTAGCCTGTAGGTTGTAGTTATGCAAAAACCAAAGAATGATTCAAAGATATAGGAAATGGTGCACATTCCGCCATATTTCGTTTTAAAAAAGAAACATTCTATACACGAAACTCTTCTCCTTATTTTTTTATCTTATCACAAAACAAAAGCTGACCGCCATCTTGGATTGCTATGGATATGTGGACATGCATGTTATTTAAAAATATTTGAAAAATTTAGTGAATTTTTATTTCGTCACCTAGGAGTAATTTTTTACCGTTAATCCTTCTTGTGGCGTTAAAACCACACTGTAATGAGATATGTATTCAAGATGGCGACCAGCTCATGAATTTCTGTGAGGATATTCTAAAAAAGTAGGCAAAGTTAAAAAATGACGAGAGAGCGTTATATATGTATATATATATACAATGTCCAACAATTGTTTTATATGAAACAATTCTCATTGCCAACACCCTGTAAAAATTTAATCCTGGATTATTGGGCTATAGATCTTGCGTACTGTGGTGACAGACGTGGGGTGCACGGGGGGTGAAACGCCTGAAACACACTTTTTATAACCGGTTAAAAATGCATGGTCTACAAAATTGATATCCGGAGAATGATACTGTTACCACGTTTTATAAACTGAAGCAGTCGTTAGTTTGCATAAGGAAAACATGTTAGGAAAATTCATGTGCGATTCTTTCGTCCAGGATTTTGTTGGCAAGCGTAGCACCTCGCACCATGAACACTGAAGAGGAATTTCGTTTTACACCAATCAGCAAATTGGTTTACATTTTTAGTATACCCAGTCAGTATATGTATATATACATATGTATACAGTAACTATTTCTGGTAAAAAGGTTCATTATTCACCATTTTACATGAACTATCAAAATGTTAGGCATTCCGATCGGCTTAACCTGAAAAATGTAAACATCCAAATTTGCCGATTAGTTTAAAGCGAATTTCCCCTCGTTCACCTGTGGTTGTCTGAGATGAAAGATGGCAACAGTTCTCAATGCACTTGTTAAATAAATCGTCTGTCACGCTAGCAAAATAACCGACTTCGTATATACATAGTCATAGGGCATGCACTTGACAGAGTTCAGAGTTCTACAATCCTGCGACAGCGAATTTTCTTGGCACAAGCTGCATGTGGACCCAATTTAAAGCACATAATCTGATTGCTAAATTCGTCCTCCCGCAAGCACGACCATATATGCAATTGTTTGCGGAAAACCTGGGCGAGTTGATCAATGTGTATTACTTATTAATGAGTTTAGGAAATATTTTTCACGATGCCACATTACCAACGTAACCGCGCGTCCGAAGTTTGAAAACAAACCCAATTCAAGCGCTAATCACACACTGATTCGCATCTTTTATACCTTAATTATGAAATGAAATTTTTCCGTGCAAATAAGCCATCATAATTAGACGATGCGTTCGTATCTGTGTTCAATTTTCTCCGACAATTACATCAAATGGCTCGCCGACTATGCAGGTTAAATTATTAAATCGAAGCAAAAAATCTGCAAAGCTCTGCGATGTGTTGTCGCCGGGGATTTGTGGTTGTTTAGTTTGAAATAAACGAACGTTCTGAGCCTAACTGGATGACATTATTTGGAGGGGCTTTTTAAACCGAGGATTTTTAGTGGACATTTTAATGTTTAATTAAGAGAAGGTAGGAAATTATTTAGAAAAAAGTTCTGAATGCCCTAAAGAAAACGTGCCGAGTTGCCAAGAAGTCTGTTTTGTCGATTCGGCATTTCCCCGATACTTTTTAGAAAGTATACTTACAGGCTAGTTGAGCTGAGCTAGCACATATAAATGCTCGTGTATATATAAGTTGCAGTCATTTTTGTATTCTGTAAAATTCGATTAGCATGCACGTCAAAATTCAAGTTACAAACTTTGTAATTGCCAGATTTGCTGCGTATATTTTGCGTCCTTAAAGGCCTAATAACATGCAATATTCCTTATAAAACGTAGACTAGCATGCAATATCCGTTTCCCAGCATGCAAAAGTATATTTATGCCATGGGCCACATGGTAAATTGCATAGTTTTCTAGTTATATATACTCTACCTTCGACGTCCACATCATCCAATATTTAAGAACTAAAGTTAAATACCAATTCCCCTATCGTGCACCGTGGGCACGACTATATATGGTTTGTCTGATTGTGAATCTCTCTTTCTATATATATATGCATGCTTTACTCATATGGTCCAAGTAATGTATGTCTCATAATAATTAAGCCGCAAATTTTACGCCGGTGAACAAGAGTCACAGAAGAAAAAAATTAATTACTTTTATTTCATTTTTTTCTACTTTTCACCGGGATATGTCTGTTCCTGTGTAGTTAGGGCATTCGTGGTTGTTGTTGCTGTTGTCGTTCCGTTAGAGAATACGACATCACTGATGTGGTTTCGACTGGTAGTTGCATGATGTCTTGGAACGGACTGAACTAGTTTCTCAAGAATATTTATGATGTACATATAGATTATTGAATATTTTATTCGTATTTTCATCTGTTTTGATGTTGTTCCCTGACGTTTTACGACCCCTAATGAGCGTTCTAAATTATGCAATTTGCATAGATCTTGATATTCTGTATGAGACTGAGAGAGGCAAGTTACGAACGTTTTTAATTTGCCCCTGATCGGGTTTCTCGAGTACTCTGCTATTGCTCTCAATGGACAGGGGAATTTCTCGTGTTTGAGTGGTAAAAGAATGCCTTTCATGCTTATGTTGACAAATTGGCGTTGCGGTTAATTGTTGCGGACTTTAACAAGGATTTGTCTCATTTTGAGCACGCGTGGTAAGCCTTGCATACCGTATAAACTTTCTCTAG